AACATACACAACTTAATCAATTTTATGCATATTTAATTTGATCAACTTGTACAACATTCAACTTTAATAACTTAAGCAACTTTATGCAACTTAACAACTTTATTAACTTAAGCAATGTTACAACTTTAACAACTTATACATTGTAATGCATTTTCAACTTAGGAGATCTCTTATAACTTAGTAAGCAGTTTAAGTGGCTTAACCCTACTAAATTACAAATTCAAGCATGATGACCTATTTAACAACTTTAGGCATGGTGACTTGTTTAACAACTTCAAGCATATGGTGACCTGTTTAACAACTTATTTGGTTTCTTAGATTTCACCACTTAAACTAAGAAAGTCTAGTACTATTGTTAGGAATAGAATAACTTGGATATGAGTTTATCACAACATTGATATGCATCAACTAAACATGTATGAAATTAACCCACTGCCACTTTCCAAATATCATGCATCCTTTTAGCACTCAATCTCTCCCTGACTTCGTGCCTTGCTCAATGATTACATATGAAAAGTATGGCTTGGCTTGTCCCCATACCATTCCAACTTAAAAACCTTTAGGAAACAACTTCCCAATCAAGAGACGACTTACTCACTAAAGGGTTTCAACTTTGGGTTTGTAAAGTATCACTACTTATATCCACACAATATGATATTTTAACTTCTAAACAATTTTTCTCTCCTCTAATTTTTATGAAACTTTCAACTTAAAACATGCATAACATACATATATTACAACTCAACAACAACTTACAACATACAACTTTCAACTTAAATAACATTCAACATATCGCCATTTAACTTAAACATCCTCAATTTCAACTCATTCATCTAAACATGATTCATCTTCATACATCATCATCGTTCAAGTATCCTACAACATCATAAGCAAGTTACATTCACAACTTAAGCATATTTACTTAAAACATTTTTTAGTAGCATAAAGTGTATCACATTCATCTTAACACCTTAGATTATTTCATAACCTTCCACCTCATACAACATGTCTAAACAACTCAAAAATTACATCAACTTTAACAACATGAAATAAACCCACATTATTCAAACAACTCATTTTATACCATCTCCAGTTTATCATCAATAGTCATCAATTATTATAGAATATAACATATATGAGAAAATTACATCATAAAAGCATTAAATATCTTTTAAGTCCTTAAATTCGCATAGCCAAGATAATTTGGCCAAAACAATTTGACCCCAAATTCTTCACTACCTCAAATTCATTTGGCCAAGAAAATTTTCCTATCCAATTTGACTCCAAATTGGCCTTTGCTCCAAATTTTTCTGGCCATGAAAATTTGGCCCAGCCAATTTGATTACAAATTAGCCTTTACCCTAAATTCACCTGGCCATGAAAATTTGACCTAACTAATTTCCACTTGAAACACCCTTCAAGTGAACCTTTCCAAATTTCATTCAACTAAAGATATTTGATCCAACCAATTCACACTTTAGGTGAATTTGCCCAAAATTTTCCTATCTAAGGAAATTTGGCATAGTCAATTTGGCTCTAAATGGCCATTGCCCCAAATTTTCCTTGCCGTGAAAATTTTCCCAATGAATTTGTGGATATATCACTTGCAACTTCACCATTTTTGAACTTCTGACCTTATCAACTTATCTACAAGTTCAAGAATTGAAATCAAAACCACGAGAATGATTATAAAAAACTTATATATAACATAAATCTACCATTAAATCCAACATGCAACATAGATTCATCAAGAAATCATCAATTTTGGGTCTTGGGATCATCAACCCCAAAACTTCTACTTCACCATCTTTAACAACTACTTCAAAATCAACAAATTAAGCCATCAATGAGAAAATCAAACATATGCAACATGAAACAACATTAAACAATTAAAAAATTAAACAAGATTCTTTTACCTCGATTACTTCAAGAAACAAAGAAATTAAGGAAGAAGGGGGGAAGAACCATGAGACCCTCTAAGATTGACTTCTTCATAAGAATTTAAACTCCAAAAGCTTGAATATTAGTTTCTACAACTTTACTCAACCTTAGGGAAAGACAAGGAAGCTCTTAGTACAATCAAAAGAAGAATCAAACTTCTTTAATTATAAAGTCTATCTCTCTAACTTCTCCCTAAAAAGTTTTTTTAAAATGAACTTATGAAGCTTCTCTCTTCGCAAACCATATATAATTTTTCGTTCTTGGTCAACTTTGACCTCAACTCTAGTAATTTTTTTTAAAAAAAATTAGTTCTTGAAGATTCCTTGATACTTTGGAGCTCTTAAAACAACACAAAACACAACATAACAACTTGACATCATAAATTAACATAACACATATCATGATGCAATAAAAATATAAAAGATATAGCGTTACAATATCTAAAAAAATGATCTTACAGGTTTGAATCAATACTAATCATATATTTTTTTAAAAAAATTTTAAAACTTATTTTAAATACTTTATGATAAATAAAAAATTCGATTTGGATTATGAATAGTAATAAAATTATTTTTAATAATAATTTTCTTAAAATATAATTTATTCATTTATATTAATTTATAAAATTTTATATATTGATATTTAAAATTTTATACTCTCTTCGACTATACAACTAGATTGACTTGATGGTACGAGGTTATTAGTATTTATAAGGTCTTGTGTTTAAATTCAATTTTGGTAATTGAAATTCTTATAGATAATTTTTTTAAAATACGTCCACTAGTTCTTAATATAAGATATAAATAATTAATGTATCAATATAAGTAAAATTAGTTGACGCATTTAATTTTCATTAATAATGTTATAAATTCAAATGTTGTTTCAAAAATATTTTTTTGAATTGAATAGTTTAATTAATTATTATATTTAATGACACTATACCTAATTCAAGATTTAATTTTTTTATTAATGACTGTAATTTGTATTATTAATAGATTAATAAATGCATCTAGTTGTGTGAATGATAAGTAAGTATCTTCTTAAAAAATATTTTAAAATAAATAAAACATATAAAAGGAAATTAAAATTATATATATATATATTAAAGTAGGTCTATATTTCTCATAATTAGTGTAAAAAAACTACCCATTTATATATTAATCATAGTTTTTTTGTTGTAACATTAATTTAAATTAATCAAGAGTTTTAGTAACAAAACAAATTAATCGAGAGTATTATATTAGTTTAACATTTTTTTTTCATTAGACTTAAACTTCTTATTGTGTATGGTTAAATTTTTATTAATAAAATTTATACTAAAATATTATACTTGGTGTTTTAGGTGTAAAAAGAATGTTAAAAATCTACAAAATAATATTATATTATAATTTTTAGTGGCACAAAATATTAATATTATATTTATTGAATAATATTTTATATATTACTTAATTATTATTATCATTTTATTAATATCATTTTGAACTACGATCAAATTATTTAAATTATTAACTTTATCAATTCAATAAACAGTTTAACTTTTAAACATTAATAATTATACATATACACACAACACACATATATATTAAATATATTATCATTAATATATAGAGGGTTGGTAAGAGAGATGTCCAAAAAAATATGAAAAATTCTAACATCTAACTCATCCCTTTCTTTCCCT